AGAGAGAGAGAGAGAGAGAGAGAGAGAGAGAGAGAGAGAGAGAGAGAGAGAGAGAGAGAGAGAGAGAGAGAGGGTACTGAAGAGTATAAAGGGACTCGTCCAGAACCATGCACACACGAAAAGCGGAGAAGAGAGGGGAGTGTAGGGCAAAATGTTAGCTCCTCAGCGTGCCTGCCTGCCCGCCTGACTTGCTTTTTGCACTGTGTAAAACTTGATGACGACACATAACAAAGCCCATAACCAATTTGCTGCCGAGGAAGGCTATTCCTCAGCGGGTTATGAAACTGACTCCGAACAAGAATCAACAAACAAAAGAGTATTTGTTCCCACAGTAGCGTTTCGCGCGAGGACAAGGATGATGCAGATGCTGCTGCTGCTGCTGATGATGATGATGAGGACCGAACTCGATCATGCGAATTAAAAACAGAGTTACAATCCGATGACACACGCTTCTCAGCGAAACATCCCAACCAAAAAGAAATTACATCAGAAACTATGAGACCATAACACTCACCATTTCTGCTCTTCCTCCCAAATACGCATCGCATCGCCGAACCTCCTAAGCGCCGAATTCCACGCAAAATTCACCGCTCCCCTTCAGAAGGGCAGAACGAACCAGCATCTCAGGAACAAGACCTTCTCATTAATGCAAAACAACAGGGCAATCATGAATCCGAAAGCCACGACAAGAAGAATAACTGTAACCGGCTCCTCTAAGGCCTTTTTTTTTTTTTTTTTTTTTTTAACAAGGCCTAAATGCTGCTCGCTGAGCCTCGCTCCCCTTTTTCTCGCTTTCCTAGTCCTTCAGTGCCCTCAACACAATAAACATAGCCAGCTAGCTGGCTGGGGAACGCAAATAGCTCAGAAGAGTCAGAACCATTGGCAGAACATCCAAGCGTTTCCTCACCTCAAAGCAGGGACACATCCAGCAGAGGGACAGGTGGAGATCATCTGGAGTCCTCCTCTTCTTTCTCCCCCTCCTCCTCCAATGCCGAACCCAACCAACCAACCAACCAACCACCTACCCATAGATATGCTTCTTGGTGCTCTCATTTACTTATTTTAAATGCCCAAGACTCTAAGTTATGCTCACGGCTGGCCTCTGCGCTACATACTCAAGACGATCGAGCAACAGTTCGTGCTTTATACAGGCACAAGTATGCCATATGCCAGTCCCCTGCAACACAGAAAACATAAACGTTGGCCAAAGAAGCACCACCACCACCACAGCACGAAGCGTCAATCATTATCCCGCAGATCTATACGCCAGGGCATACTCAAAGTCAAAATGAACTGTCTTCAGTTCTAAAGGAAACCGCAGGACAAAAGCACCCACCCAGAAGAAAAAAAAAAAAGAAAGTTAAAAGAAAGTTAAAAAAACCCATTAAACTAGGAAAAAGCCAGCCAACTTGAGCCAGCCCCATTTTTGGCAAACCCTTCAGAATTTCAAAATGAGGGTCCACTCAATAGTATCCCAAATTCCCGATCGAATTCCCCAAGTTATGGCACTTGGGTCCATTTGAGCCCAAGTGATGGCACTGAAAGCCACACAGATGGTTAAGGGCAACTGCATCCTGAGGATGATGCTTTATCCATTGATTTATGGAAAAGCATCCGTGGCTGAGAGTCGTCGAGACCCCAAGTACGCAGATACCGGGGCGGCAAAATTAATTGAACCCCAGGTCGGCCATCTGGTACATTGAGAATGCGCCCTGAATGCCGTTCCACAGTTTGTTCCGGCCGCAAAGACAATACGTCATCTACCTTCTCCTTTTTTCTTTATTCTTTTTTCCAATTTGGACCATTTCCCAAGTAATTGTGAGGATTGAGCCCTCAAAGGGGCCTTGCCGTGATATACATGTTCTGGGCTAAGGCCCCCAGCAAGCCTCGTGCCCGCCCTAAGTGAAGGCGGGCCAGCAAATCAAAAAGAGCCCTTTTGTTCAAACATTTCACGAAGTGGGGTCCATACAGTTGCCGCACGCCAGTTGGTTGGAGTGCACCGAGCATCGGATCTCTGCAAATGCAGAAATCCCAGGGCCCCAGAATTGGTTAGGCCCTGGGCACATAAACCTGAGGCCGACAATGCATGCTGGATATAGAGGCCGAAAATGCCAATGGGAAACCGGTCCACTATCTGAATCTGGCCGCAGGCCTTGACGAAAGAGGCGCAACTGCATCTCCTGGGCCCCAATCACATTGGGCCTGGGTACAGGTACTGGGGCCCAGGCGCGGGCTTAAGGGAGACCGCCCACACGCAACACTGGCATATAGTCAGGGAGGGCGAGGGGGCAGGGATCTTGGCCATTGCGAGCAAGGCCGGCACGCTGCTGCATTGCGAGTGTGCCTGCGCTGCGCTAGGCTGAGTGAGGGCAGGCTGGCGCTAAGCGGTAGAGCGCAGCCTGGGCGCAAGGCGCTGGCGGCCATAGCCGGGCTGCCTGTGGGCGCAGAAGAGGTGAAGGGCGAAGGTGGTTCTTCGGAGGTGAAGGGCGCTGTGTCGGATAACAAAGGAGAGTGAGTGTGAAGAGAGAGACATACCTGGTGGAGAGGAAGTCGGCATTGGTGTTGACATCATCACTCGCTGGTCGTCAAGTTGTCTGGTTGCTTCCATGCTGTAGTTGTAGTGATAGGCTGTAGAGTAGGTAGGGCGCCTGGCGCCATTCAAGAGAGAGAGAGCTACATTGGGTTATGCTGTTGGTGTTGCCCGATTGGGCTTGGACATTGACTCACGATTCTTCTGTATCGTTCTCAAATGGATGGTTACTCGGTTCCATTGTGCTATCTGCTCTTGCTTTGACTACTTGGACGTCAGTGTGATTTTGCAATTTGGATTTCTGTGCTTCGTCCACATTCATGTTCCTTGCATAATGCATGTCGTCCTTGCACAGGGACCACGTTCATAGTGTCTGTATTGTCCCAATTTTCACACGTCTCAAAGGACAGGACAAGATAAGACAGGACAGGCAGGACAGGACAGGACAGGACAGGACATCATCTGATCTCAACAGAGTGGCACATTAACTCTGTTGACAAATAATGACAAATATTATTTGAAATATTCAAATACATACATTTGCTTTTTCTTTCCTCATCTTGTATTCACTTAGAAGTTGGAACATACTCATCTGTTCTCAGGGCTACAAAGGAGCTATCCTGAGAAGAAGATCTCTTTTGCTTTTTTTTAGCTTACAAGTTATGTCTAGAGGGGGCTGGGGGAGAGGGAAAGGAGAGGGAAAAAAAAGGGACTCGCTTCCCTTCCAACGCAGGCTTGGTCTTCTTCCAAAGAGTAGATGTGTCCTCCTCTTCCTCCTCCCCCCCCTCCCCTGATATGGGTGTCCTCCTCCTCCTCCTCCCCTGATACGGGTGTCCTCCTCCTCCTCCTCCTCCTCCTCCGCTGATCCGGATGTCCTCCTCCTCCTCCCCGGTTGTAGTTTTTAAAATTTCAAACACTTATTGCCAGATGGTTGGGTTGGGAATGTGTGCAAACGACAGAAACAAATATCACTGAAAGGAGGACAAGCAAAAGAGGAAGACAGAGGGAAAAGCGGATTGCTGTGTGATGAACAATATCCCTGGTCGCCGCCACCGCCTCCGCCGCCACCGCAGCAGCAGCTTATAGAACAGGGAGATCTCTCTCTCTCTCTCTCTCTCTCTCTCTCTCTCTCTCTCTCTCTCTCTTTTTAATCCAGAAATTTGGACCATTTTGGCATTTTCTCGATTTCTGTGTCGTCCTTGTGCAGGGGCCGTGCTAATCTTCTCCGCATCATTCCAAATTCCAATCCCTTTTTAACGGATGATCCAGGACACAGAACAGGCAGAGTTTTTTTTTTTTTTTTTTTTTTTTTTTTTTTTTTTTTAATTAAAAACAGGGACTCAGGGAGTAATAAATTAATAATCTATTAATCACCTCATGCAATAACGGAGCAAAGACAGATCAGTGTTAGCATACACCAAAGTTGTGCTCCGTTATCGTAGAGGTAAGAAAACAACTGGGTTCACAGCTTCGAATCCGAAAACAATTGGGTTCACAGCTTCGAATCCGAAAACAATTGGGTTCACAGCTTCGAATCCGAAATCCGTGCGATAATGGACCAGGTAAAGAGTCGCTCAGGGTATTCACACTGTACGACTTGTCTACTGAGATCTGGACATGATTACCATCCGGTCTTGCCGTAATCGAAGTAGGATACATTTAGAAAAGTGCTAGTGCTATTCTTGCCGCAATCAAAGTAGGATACATTTAGAAAAGTGCCAGTGCTAGTGTGATAATGGTCGCACAATGTGCGTGAAGTGAACATTGCAAGAGTAACGGGATGGAAGGCATTAGCTGAGCTGAGTACCTCCACCAGAGAGCTTCATGATCTCCTCTTCTGTCATTACACTGGGCTTGTCATCATCGAACTTTATCCAGGATCCTGAAATGGACAGAACCAGGGAAGACAAAATAGCCGGAACCGGGATTAGACTTCAAAAACAACAGACACTGAGAATAGCAAATGATGAGTATACGCAACTCCCGCCCCGCACCCCTACATCCCCCCCCACCTCTACCCCCACCCCCTTCTGGACCCCGCTCCCCACAGCACGACCAAAGCAAAGGGACCCACCCAAAGAGATGTACAGCCAGTTCACCAGAAGAGATCACATAATGATTCCCATAGCAAAACAGCCAGCCACCAAAAGAAAACACTTAGGCCAAACATCACCACACCTCAAAGAATGAAAAAGAAAGAAAGAAAGAAGGTAGCGCTTTGGGCAGAAGGTGGAAATAGTGTGAGGTTTGTCCGTGCGTCGTGCGCATGAAGTTGTGGAAACCATTTTCTGGGGATTACAAGGGCTACAGATTGAGGAGTTAGATCGTGGCGATGTTGGGATCGTAAAAGTTAAGTCTTTTTTTCTGGGGGGAGGGGGGACCCATCTTGAGCCCACCCAATAAATCCAGGAACTCCAATACTTATTATAGATAGGGGTCGGGCTTAAGTTTGTTTTCCTGCCCTCCGAACCGCATGTGATAGTTTCCCATCATATGGCTCCGCGCCACAAATCATCGTTCGATAATGGTCTCAACTTTATTTTGTTTTTTTTTGGACTCAATAGCAGTTTGGGGGATTGAACGGGATGACCAGAATGCAGAATCAGATGTGTTGGGAGCCTGGAGCTGGGGGATGAGGGCACAGGGCAGGGCACAATGGAGGGAAGGAGGGAGCTGGAAGAAATGAGGGACGGCAAGAAAAGGGTAGACACTAGATAGTACATTGTCTGGCAACACAACATGTTCACGAGATATATATCGTCAAATAGAACTGCCCGGTAAACCGTAGGCAGAGAGGGAGAAGAGGACAACAAACGAGGGGCTGTGACAAACTGTTTCGTCGGAGTTTCACTGACTCATCATATATATATATTATATATCGTCACAAACAGAACTGCCCGGTAAACCGTAGGCAGAGAGCGAGAAGAGGACAACAAACGAGGGGCTGTGACAAACTGTTATATATATGTATGTATATCGTCAAACAGAGCTATATGGTTCTGCCAAAGAAAAGACCAATAGACGACAACGGATGGAGTATAGAGAAATGAGGTCCGAAAAACTCACCACTCTCCTGCTTCACCCATGCAACATAGTGCCCTGAATCCACACTTCTACCTTTATGAGTCAGAACCGCAACCAGATCGTACAGCCCTGTCGGCTGCCTGTGCAACATGCTCACGGGCATAGATGTCGAAGCAAGCAAGCCTGGTCATGAAAAGGAAAAGTCAGACGACAGCTCTGCATTGTGGGACGGAGTCAAAAGGCTTCTCTTTCTTCCCCACCCCCTTGTTCCACCTTCTCCTTTTTCTTTAAATGAGAATAAGGTTCAATGAACTTCTCACAGCACGCCCCAGCGGCAAGCCGCCGAGGTCACCGCGATCCAGGCACTTCACCAAACCATTCATTCAATGGGTAGGAGCGACGGGGCGGTGTGTACAAAGGGCAGGGACGTAATCAGCGTGAGCTGATGACGCATGCTCACTAGGCAATGTAGGCATTCATCGTTCAAGATTGATCCTTTTTCTGTTTCTTTGTTTATTTAAGGATTAAAAAAAAAAAAAATGGAGCCAGTGCCATAAGGACCTGTTTTTATTGTTAAAAGAAAAAACAAAAAAAAAAGGAAAAAAGGTTTTCACTGCTGATCTGGATGCCTCCGGTCTTCACCCGAATAGAATGCCCTGGTCATCATATAGCCATATTGGCATATTTCGTGCAAATTCCGAGGCTAGATACGGCCCTAATGACCGGGCCATCTATTTGTTCTGGTGAAGAGGGTTCCCGCGATGGGGGTTGCCAAAAGACAGCATCGCGCATCAACAACTTCCTCAGCGACAGATTCGTTACACCAGCAAAGGAATCGAATAATCACCTTTGTAATTTTTAATTTCTTTTAACTTTAACTGAACTATTTGAGAATTATCTTTGTTCCCTCTTTGTTCTTTTGATCCAGTCAAACAGAGAGGTGTAAGAAACGACAATCGACGGTTAGTCACAGACAACTGAAACTGAAAGAACTTCCCTGAAATTGCGGTCAGGTTCAGCAAAGAAGAAGTACTAGCGGACGTATGGCTCAACTTCCCCCAACCTCCCAACAACACAGAGGTATGCAATAGAGGAGCATGGGCTACCTTCTTAACCCGAAAAAAACGTACGTACGTTCTATTCGAATTACCTCTGGAGATCGGGTTTTCAGAAATCGCTTGTTTTTCCCCGAATAGAACGTACATTCAAATATAACGTACGTATGTTGTATTTGAATTTTTGGAACTTTGATTTTTCAAAAATAATCAAAAAAATCCGAAAGAAATAAAATGTTATACAACAATGCAATGCAAACAACGTTTGCCTGAGGGTCTTATCGAAATTCACGAGAAAATTCGAGAAAGAAATTAAAAAACGAGGATGAAAATGTTTTTTACTGATTTTTTCAGCATTTCGATTTAAAAAAACCTTCAGTAAAAAATCCGAAAAAAAAAGTATGTTGTACAACATTGCAATGCAAACAACTTTTGCCTGAGGGTCTTGGGGAAATTCCCAGCCAAATTTGAGATAAAAATAAAAACAATGGCGGTACTACAGGCTTCTGAAAAGTTGTACCCTAAAACTCGTTCTATAACGTACGTACGTTGTATTCGAATACAACGTACCCCGTACGCTGTATTCGTATACAAGGTACGTACACTTTTTTTGGGTTAAGAAGGTAGTCGCAAAAAGGTAAAACGGAGAGAACTTTCACATAATCACGGCCAGGTTCAGGACAGAAGAAGTTATAGGGTGATGGATGCCTCAACGTCCCCAACTAGTGTTCTTTTGCCCCAATGGAGTGCACAAAGGGGGTCGATGACCATTTCTTTAAAAAGTTTAAGCCACCAGTACTTCATGATCCTTCCCTTGCCGAGCCTAGAAACTCCCTGATGGGCACAAATTGGGGTGCTAGTTTATTTCTGGTTTAAGCGAGACATGGCCGCACATGCAACTGAACATATGGATTTTGTGGACAACATGTTCTTTGATTTTGCGGACTTGCTCTTCCTTGGCCCAATACTGTTCAGATTCCTAGTCATCTCTATATTTGCCAAAGTGGACCGTCTTTTTTTTCTTCTGTTTTTCCCCCCCAATGCCTTCAGGATTGGCCACAGTGCCATCATCTTCGTCACCATGTTTGTTGAATTTTCTATCGACCCCCTCTCTTCATTCTTCACACCTCCCTGTTTACATTTCTTCCTTCCTCTATGTGTCATCGTCGGCAGCCTGAGAGTAAGGCTGCATGTCATCCTCACACACAGATGAACAACCAGCACAACTAGACCAAAGCTCAGTCGGCTGAAACGTCTCCGCAGAGTTTAAATACGAAAAAACATATTGACATGCAGCAAGGTACCTGCACCTTTCTGCACTAGCATTTCCACAAAAGTACCAGCGAGCCTAGCTCAGTTGTTACACGGAAACCTACACCAATGACCTGTTGAATTACAGACCCAACTTCGATTCCTGATGGACCTGGCTGAATGCAATGAAACAAGTCTTGACTTGAAAGTACCTGGGGTCGATCAACTCCAGGATGATATCTCAATGCTGTTGCCCTCTACCCTCGTCTCTCTCTCTCTCTCTCTCTCTCTCTCTCTCTCTCTCTCTCTC